TATTACTTTTTTAAAACAGAACCTTACAAGCGCAAGCACGCTCCTGCATAAACACACATATGTATACATACATATATGCATTTAGCGTGGCGTCACTTTTTTTCACAAACATACAAGTTCAAAGTATTTATTTATTATATAGCTTATTTTCATTATTTTTATTATTACACTAATGTTATTATTAAATACTTACGTTTGAGGAAGGGCAGGGCACTCAAAATATCTAGTTCCTCTAGAAGGGTCTTTAAACGTGTGTCGCCCGCGTCCATCATACTGGCTTCACTTCCTCACTTACTCCGCTTCACTGGCCGAAAAAAAACGAGCATTTGACGAGAGCCGAAGTGAACTTCGGTAGCTTGCCGAAAAATTCCAGAGAGAATGTCTCTCTCATTTTTTATCTCTCTCATTTTTTTTCATCTCTGAGACGAAGTTGAGAACGATTTTAAGAATGCTTGGGGACGATTTCAATAACGTTCATGCTTGATAAACGAAATCGAGAATGATGTATTCTCAAAAAGCCAGATCATGAATGGTTTTATTCTTGATTTCAAGAACGTTTGTGCTAAAAAAAGTGAGAAGACAAAATACTGAAATCAAGAATATTCGTTCTTGATTTTTTCGTTCTCAAGTTTTCTCAGTGTACAGGCAGTTTTCCATTGGTTTTTGGGGTTTTCATTCTATTTATAAATTGTTATTGGCACACCGCTTCTGCACAAACACAGCCAAAGATCAAATTTTGTATTCTTTGGTCGGCGGCTAAAGGCGTTCATCGGAATTCATCCGCTAAATCTAGTATTTATTTGGTATTTTCTTACTATTTCCTTAGCTCAACTGAGTACCGAGGGGGGAAAAGTACCCGGCTAAAGGCGTTAGCTACCTATTTGCCTCTCGCTTACTCCTATGCTTAGCTGGCAGTTTTCGTCGTACTGAGTACAAGGCTTAAAGTTAGGCAAAAATATACTGACTCTCACAAGGGGATTACCCCGCACTCACAGTTCATTAAACTCCGAATGGAGGTAAAACCTTGGGATCTATGACTTGATTGTTCCACGTTTGAAGATAGCATTTTCAAATTTTCTAAGAAATAAAAACCAAAATGGAGAAGGGAACGAATAAATTTAGTTATTTTAAACCAATCATTTTTAAACACTTTCAGATTTCTCATTCTCAATACTCCACCAATCTAAACTTAAGGCTGCGTCATACCCCGAAACCCAGCCAATATTTGGTCAATAATCCTTTTCCAAATTTGAATTTCCCGTTGGCCACATAACATCTGCGACTTTGTACCCCTTTTATCCCCCTTAAGCCGAAACCCAAAACCAACTGCTGACCAATCTATACACAACAGAATTTTCATTTCACACCTAGTTGAAATTTGCTGTCATCTTTGCTTACTGTTATTATTATTATTATTATTATGATTATAATGCGTTTCGGAAATGAAATTGGGGCAACCGCAGGATGCGGAGACTGACGCAGCTGGGACTCATGTGTGTTCGCATCGCAAAATATATATGTAAGTTTTTATGCCCCCCGTTCGGTCAGCAAAACAAATCTCAACATTTGGCATACAATTTGCATTATTCGAGATTGTTTTTTGTCTCTCCTATTTTTTCCACTTTGGTATGGTTCAAAGTTAAGTCCGGTTGATGTATGTCAAAGTTACGTGCGCGTGTTAAAATCCTGTCTAATTTAATATCTATAAATCGGCTATGACAGCCGAGGCCCATTGGGCGAAGGGATAAAAAAAGGGTTATCATCAGCGGAGGGTTGCTTATCAACGTGGCAAATTGATTTGCGCTCGTTATGCGGTCACTTGGGGTACATTTTTTGGTCAAAATTGTAAAACCGAAATTGGCCAAACGTGCGTTACAAATTAATGTTTGTTCGGGATTTTGTTTCTCCTTTCCCTGCGCTATTATTATTTTTATTTATTTACGTTTTTTTGCAAACACGCCATAAACCCTTTTATACTTCAACAGGATGTGCCGCCTGATGCCGAGTTATGTGGTGCAAATGCCCTTGTGGGTGGAGTTTTATTGGTCAGGCAATCAATACGGTATTAGTTGGGCCTGTCATTCAATGACACCGATATGGCTTATTGATATTGATAGGAAACAAAGGGGGATGGAACTGGAAATAAAAAAAAGAGTTTAGTGGCTCAAAATATCCGAAAATATCATTATAAAATCTATATAAAATTGATATTATTTTTGGTTTTAAGTATCAATAAATTGACCCATGGAAATTCAACACAAATCAACACACGACATACCCAAATGAAAGAATTTAACATGATAATTTATATTTTAGGTTTAACAATACAATACTTGAGAGTACTTTTATAATTATAGCAAAGTTCATATACGGGGGTGTCACAGAAATTATTTCCAACCGAAATCCGTTAAAGTTCTTCGATTGGAAGAGATTTCTGTGACACCCCTGATTGTACTATTTATTTCGGGTGCATAAAATAATTTGATAGGGAATATTTGTACTCCTCCACCAACCTCATTTTACTACAATGTGAACATCTTTTTAGCAACATTTTTTATGTGCAATCGTATTATTTCATATCATATTGTGCCAAAGCCTTCTCCCTTTTTTTACTTACATTTTCCGCCGCTCCGTCAGACTCATCATATTTTTTATAGCATACTCACGTTAGGTTAGAAAATGTCGCCTCTGATTGCTTTCTTATTTGTTTACATTTCCAGGCTATTGACATACGCCAAAGTATAGAAACAGTGTCAGGAAGACAAGGATACCGGAGGAAGTGGTTGGGGGCACATAGAACGTGCATGGCATATCAAAAAATGGAAAATGCCCGACACATGTTTCAATCATTTTCCATTTTTATTTATTGTCAGCATTTATTCTGCTGACACTTTTCCAAACCCTCGCTCGCCCCCGAAAAAATGGGTTCTCCATTGCCATTGCTTGTGATTGTATCTGTGTGTGCGCTTAGAAAACAATTTGCAAATTGCTTCAAAAATCTGCCTTATGCCAAGTCGAGATCTTTGCATGAATCACTAAATGGAAATTTATCTGACTGCAGAAATGGATTTATTTTTCTGCCGCAGTAATTAAACAAAAATTTTGCCAACTGTTAATCAGTTTAAGAAACTGGCAGCTGCTGGGAATTTAATTTCTTAAACATGGCCCATAAATTTTCCTCTGTGGCTGGGGTAACAGGAAAACGTATTGAAATCCATAAAAAGTCACCGAAGTCAAGGAAATGAAATTGGGAAAAATTTGTAAATATTGTGTTGGAGTATGTTCACTTTTAGATTTAATTTGTAATTGCATCTATGAAGCTACGGACAATATTTAATGATGTTAAAAAATTAATCCGTTTTTCATCAAAAAAATTATTAAAAATAATTTTTTTTTTGAAAATACAAATTTATTTAAAATGTAATGATTTGAAAACCAATTCTAGCGCTGAAAAGTTACATTACATTGCATTTAATAATTTTGTTTTTGCAATATATTATTTTATTATTTTGTATTCAGCATAGAGTATAATTTAGTTCAACTTTCTTTCTTAAATGGTGTCCCACTTCTGCCGCAGTGTTGGCAATTTATGTGTAAAGTAAGCAAGAGGCGGTTGATTGGGGGTCTGTCCACTCGTTTGGCTCTCCTCCATTTGGCAGCAACCCCCCCACCCACCAGCACCCACCATTTTCCAACCACCCCGTTGATATCCCCACTTTTTACCCACCGCACATTGTTGCTCATGCAATTTCAATTACGTTTGCTGTCGATTTTCGAATACGTTTCGGCGTTTCAATTCGATTTGCAATCCACCCTGGCAATCAACCTTCCACTTTCATACCCGATGCCCTATCCCCATTTTCACCAACCCCTCCCACATTTTCCGCCCTCCGATCCACTTGATTTCAATTAAACTGAGTTGCTATTGGCGCTGACGCTTTTCGACGTGTCGCAAATGCAGCTTTCAGTTTTCGCTTTTCCGCTTTTCCCCCCAACACTCAAAAATTTTTTCCGAAGTTTATTCGCTTGTTTTGCTACTGTCGACTGCTGCCGCTGCTTCTAGCCATTTAATTGTTTTTCTTCGTTTTTCATTTTCTGATTTCCTCTTTGACTTTGGCTTTGAGCTCCTCCACTTGACCACTTGCATTTTATGGCGACGCGGAAAAGCTGTTTTCCCCGCTTTGGGATGGAGTGGGGGAGCTGAGGGTCAGCCATGTTGTTGATGATGTTAACTTGGTGTTGGTTGGGTGAAACAGAAATACAGTGGGAAATTTTTTTTTTTAAGACTTTATATTTGAGAGTATCAAATAAAATTTTTTTAATTTTTAACTTAAGTGATTTCTATTTTTGTGTACAGTTAAGTTGTATATATACTAAAATTACAAAATAAATGTAAGTAACAATTTACATAGATTAATAACTTAATATATATAAAATTATATACAAATTTGTCTTCCATTTTATAAATCAGATTTTTACTTAAATATTTTATTTATTCAGTTTTTTTCTTACTAAAATCACTTATTAACATTTTTTAAAATAATTACACTTCAAATCCTTATTATTTATCATAATAACTTCCATGATTGGTATAAAATTAATAATTAACTAAAACATTCCACAGTACTTGCCCAATCGAAATGTAAAAGAATCGCAGCCAATCGGGCGCTTTCCAATCGCCAATCGCCCGTCACAAATAAAAAGCAATGCGCTGCTTGTTTAAAACAAAGGAAATTGCCATTGTAAATAAAATAAAAAATAAGACAAAAACGAGCAGGGGCGAAATCAAAAGAACGCGCAAATGGAGGGAACAAGGAGGAATTGAACACCAAAGAGCCAAGAATAAAGTTTTTCAAAAGCGATAAAAACGAAATGTCGCATATTTTTATGACAAGCAGAGGGTGAAATTGGGGGGCAAAAGTGAGGTGAGAAAGAAATTTCCCCGCACATTGGCGCAAATTGAATTTGTAGAACAGCAAACAAATAAAAAACAACTCGAATAAAAAGCGTTAAAGAATTCGTCGTGCGTATATTTTAGACCTTCACTTGGACATTACAAAACAGAAGTAATTTCTGGGTGTCGATTTCATCGTTGACACAATACGCTCATTCGGCTTTCATCCAAGCCATTCCTTTTGTAGACCTCGCGAATTGCAGCTAGAGTTTCCGCGCTCGGGAACTTCTGCCTTGTGTAAGTGTTAATATACTCTAAAGTATAAATAAAAGATTATATAGTTTCGTCTAAGCCTAATTATAACTCACCTTTGTAAGCAACAGATTCGTTATCGTAGTAACACTTATGTAGAACTACAAAGTCCTTGTTGTCCGTACCTATAACCGAATACTCCTTCAGTAAAAAGTGTGCTAAACTCACTGGAATGCATATGTTTAACTTCGAATTTAGTGTTTGATAATAATGTACAGCATGTTTCGGATCCATATAAAACGATCTTTGTATCATTTTGCCCTCTAATGTGGTCTGCATGAGTATAAACAGAGAATAAGTAAAGTGTGCATAGGAAATGGTTTTGGTGAACAAACTGGAAAGGGAAACGTCTGGACCAACTTTCGACATATGTCTTTTTCGTTGGCAATAACTTCTGGAAGGATTATCGTGGCCAAGATCCCCAAAATCATGAAGCTGTATGACATTGTAGAATTGTAATATTAATATTTAATATCCAGCACTCACCTGTACCTTCCCATTTTAAATAATGAAACAATTCTGTATGAAGTGGTTTTTTATCAAAGAGGTAAGCGGAACATTATAATTTCAACGAAAGCAAAAGTGATATTTAACACATGATCATCAATTCGATAAGCCTCTTTACTTTAAGACATTTAAACCTTGAGGCTATATTTTCACAAAAATTATTACTTGGTTTTTATTTTCAGCATTTGCCTCAAAAAAACGAATAGTAAATAATAACATTTATGTGGCACAGACATTTTCTGGGGATAGTTTAAAAAGTCAAAGGTCGGTAAATTGTATCATAAAACTTTCCGTTTTCAAGAGATCCAAAAAGTCTAAAAGTAAAATCCATAAAAAATCATTACTTTCGCTGCACAAAATATAGTGGTTTATTTTAGGTTTTACTGACATAATTTTAACACTTGTCTTTCATGCAGGCCATTTTTTTTATATGCTTCGGAAATTTTAGCTAAGGTAGCTGCGTTTGGGGTTTTCAGCCTTGTATAAGTGTTAACGAACTCTAAAACGATAGTAATACATGGTTTTAGCTGCCGTTAATGTAAAACAACAAATGTAATATACTAATTTACCCGCATTAGTTTTTGAAACGGGAAAGTAGTGACACTGGTAGAGAACCAAAAATTCCTTATTATCGGTGCCTATAACCGTAGAGTTCTCCAGTAGAGCGTTTGGAAAATTCGTGTGAAGGCATAAACTAAGGGGCTTTGCTTTCGCCTTTCTATTTTCAAAAGTATCCAGGTAAAGCGATCGATGTATCATTCTGCCCTTAATTTTCGACTATACGAGAATAGAAAATAATTATACAAAGTGTAAAAGGGAGGAGATTTGACTGAACTAACTGAAGGAAATTGCTGGACCAACTTTCGGCATGGTCCCGGTTGAGAGGCAAAAGTTTCTGAAGTGATCACCGCGGCCAGGATCCACAAAAACAGGATGCTGCAAAACATAATACAATATTAATAACTTATGTATTTTCTATTGCTTACCTGAAGTTTCCCATTTTAAATAATGACAACTGCATTTGGAACTGAGTTTATAAGAGCTGCTTAAGCGGAACCGTAAAATGTTAACGAAATAAAAATAAATTGAATGCATGATTTACAATTGGATATGCCAACTATAAGCTGAAAAAGAATTTATAGAATTTTACTTGAATCTGTTGGTTAAATCAGGCCAATTAAAAATAAATGCAAATTGTTTTTTATTAAATAAAATAAATCAATTAATTTGTTAAATGTATTTCCAAAGCTATATTTATTATAAAGCTTATACTTCATTTTCCAGCAGGTAATTAAATAAATTATAATCTTCGGACGTTCTTACCATTCATTCCTTATCTATTAACCCACATATATCATTATCAAATGGCTTTCATTGCCACTTTGGCGCTTGTGGTCTAAGAAACTTTGCCAACCATTCCAAGTTCCTTGACTTGGCATAATTTAGAGCCATATATAGTAGATGCCTCCTCTGCCATGCCCCATAACTCAGCCACTTCGCCCAATTCAAGTATCCACACCCAGACACAAATCATAATCCTGATGGCCTCAGATAGAGATAAAGTAATGCGGCTGCTTTTGTCCGCTAAATGGATTTCCCAAAGCATTTGCCAAGTTTATGAAAAATAATCAAAGAGACAGTGGCCAGGAGGGGGTTGATCTATATCTATATCATGCAGCGTGTGGTTGGCGTATAAAGTGCTTTTAAAAACATCCCAACGAGTTCAAGTCTTGGCCAAAAAGTTTTGGCCCAGCTTCCCGGCTTCCGAAGGGCGGGGAGATCGTTGGTGGCAAAGTGTTTTTCATGAGCAATAATAATAATTTCGAGGCCGAATTTTAATTGCACCCAATGGACTCGTTGAAAAGAGGACGGGTCGGAAACTCGAAGATGAATGGCGGAACAAAGTAAGCTATGAAGCGGGTAAAAAAAAATGGGTTAGTCGCCCTCTTTATGCTTAGAACGCGTTGGAAAGCCAAAATGTAAGGAAAGAAAAGCTATAAACCAACTTGTAATAATAAATTTAACAACTTTAATCTAGGGAATTTATTAACACATTTTTTTAGAAGTTGAGGTAGACTTTCTTTTCTAATTTCACTTACTTATTACAACTCAGTTTCTTATAAAATAAAAATATAGCTAAGATTGCAAAAATTTAGCTGGTCTCTTACCAAAAAATAATCATTCTGGAAATCACTTTCATCAATCACACAGCGTACACATTGGGATTTCCACAGCTTTTCCGTATGTCTACCAACGCAAATCCATTAAAATACAACGAAATTAATTATTATGTCGGTTTCTGGCTGTTTGTGTGCGTCAGGTGGGTGGCATGGGTTAAAGGGTTCAGCTCTGTTCAGTTTTTATGGCCACGTCTATTGCCTTGTCGCGTTTATTTTGGCGGCGCCAACTTTCATGCTCAATTAAAACGTTTGTTTAATGAAAACAAATGCGCTTAATTAATAAACACGCATTTTGTGGTTTTTTGGCTTTGGTTTGGGTGAATGGGGGTGTGTAATGCGGATTGTGTAAAAGGGGTATTTCCGCCACCCACTCCTCCAATTCCTTTATATCCCTCTGAATGTTTTCGGTAATGCAGAAAAGTCGAAAACTGTCGCAGCTGTTTGTGTCGTGGTTGTTCGCTTTAATGGTTGTTGCTGTTGGTTCCGGTTGGTATTGTTTAATTACATTTTATTCTGAACCCTATCGTTGAGGAGATTAATAAAAGTTAAGTGCCAGCTTCATTTTTAGAAAATCCAAAATGATTAAACGAAAATATAACTACTCAATAACCAATTCCTTTTTAATAAAATATGAAATGCGGTCTCTTGGATACCGCTGATCGTTCTGATCGTTTGAAAATATTAAAGGCATACCTTTTGGCTGCTCTGAAAAATGCAGCTTAGTTCGCAAAGCAAACGGTAGGCTATGAAACGGCGCTATCCTTATAATTTCCATTATTATAAAAATTTAATAAAATAATTACTCTTGGCTACAAAACGTTAAAAATATTTCCACATTTTTTAAATTATACACAAAGTAGGCTTTTTAAATTAATAGATTATACCCGAGTTTTGTTTGGTAACTTTTACAATTTTTAAAAATCATCAACCTTATGAAAACAAATTAACTTAAACAAAGATATTCTGATTACTCATCCTCTTTCCGCTTGCAACACGTTGTCTGCATATTAGCAGTCATTCTATTAATACCTTTAAATTAACCCCTTTATTTTTCTAGGGCCTGCGATTGCACAATTTTTATTTGATGCATAATGCATTTCCGGAGCTCTCTATCTCCCCCATATTGCGGACTAGACGAGGCCTAGGCTTTGACTTTGGCTTTGATTACGACTGCAATTGCACTAAATGGAGTGCCATGTGATTGCATTGCAACTCATATTTTTTACCCACTCCGCAGTGACATATTTCTCGATTATCGCTCAACTTTCCCAGACTTTCTCATAGGTCATCAGAAACGGTTGCAAAACATTTGGTGAATGTCTAGGTGGAAATTTCGATAGCTACTCGCATTACCGGCGCTTTTTGCCACCCCGCTCTCTTCAGTCGGCTTGTCTACAATTTCAGTGGATGGCGCTATTTAAATGGTTACTGCGTTTTTTATTGCCATTATTCGGTTTGTTTTTGGGTTATTTGTGTGGTTTTGGTTGCCGTTTGTTTTTGCAACTGGCGCTTTTTTATGGAAATTTCATCAGAAGGCCCGCACACGTGTCTTATGGGTGATAACTTTTGCGGGCCAACTATGCGTATGCTTAATTGGTTGCGACTTAACTGGGCCTATTTACATGAGCTTTAAAGTTACAAATAAATATACAACTCCCGCCACAACATACATCACAGAATATAAATAATTTTACTTATGAACTTCTTAGTATCTCCTTTTTAAAAATTACGTTGGTTTTTCTCCTTATTTTATGACATAATTATCAAATAAATAATAAAAGAAAAAATTGTATTACCTACTCAGAGGTCATGTAAACAAAATCTTGAATTACTCTGAATTTCTTATTTTAGCCTTATCATCGACGTAATTTCATCCCAGCCTCCGCAGATCTCTTGGTCATTTCCGTTACTCGTTAAACGATAAGCTCGAAGTCCAATTAAAATTCATGAATTTTTAAGACGTATTTAGGTGTTATCAGGCCAATAAGTGCAAACAGATCTGCTGGCAAGGTGTCAAAATGAAAAATGTTTAATGCGCAAAAAAGCTGTGAATGAATCGAGATTAAACAATGTACATATTACAGCGGTGGGGACACCGGAGATCGGATGACGGGGGGCCCACAGTTGGGACCCCCAGCCGATAAGTAGCCCCTCAGAAGATCCCATAGAGACGAACACAGCGGCAACTGATTAATTATAGTGAGCACTTGTGTAGTACTATACTGCATGATAAAGAAAGAGCATAAAGAAAAAATTATAATCATAAAGGGCAGATCGTCTTCGCTGCCACAGCTGCTGGGTCAAGTTCAAGGACAAGCTATCAACAATAATAAGTGGAAATGAATGGAGAGGAGGAAGCTGAAATGAGGGTAAGGGGTAATGGGAGCAGTGTGCACAGAAAAAAATATTACGTGAAATTGGTCGTGAATTTAAAAATAGACGACTTGCGATTTCCACTTTACAGTCCGAAATATTAATGATAATTTACATTACTCCTTTTTTAACTTGAAATTATAATTATTTTAGCTACATAGATTAAAAAAGTAAAAGGTTTTATGCGGATTGATTATGCTCTGATCCGATTGATTTCACTTTTATTCTGACCACCTCTTTCCTGTTCTTTCTCCCTCTTGCAATCTTTGGGCAGACCGCGCCCTTTGTAGATCATTGGGTCACTATGTGTGCGGATGCGTCCCTCAGCGTCACTTTACCGCTTGCAACTGGAACACAGTGAAAACATTGCGAAAAAAAAGAATACTGGCCATAAGAGCCCCTGAAGGCTGTCTTCTTTCTGTGGATCCCCACTTCCCGATCCCCGGTTTCCCGATTCTCTGGACACTTGTGAAGAAAGGAGGCAGAAATGAATTTGCAGCTCGTGGGTAATCAAGTGAGGCACTCGCACACACTTGCAACCTGCAACGATGCCACTTGTTCGCTCACTCAGACAGCGTGGAGCTTCCATTGTGAATGGTTTTGTTTTTGTCCGGTGCTCCTTTTACCCTTCCAAAGGAACTGGCAATATGACAGTTATTATAAGAAAACAAAACAAAGCTTTTCAAATAACCATAATGTTAAAGAAAATAGGCTACATTTTAATTTTTTAAGTTACTGTTTTATTTAAGTTCCATCTTTCTATTAGAATCATCTTTGAATCCCAATGTCATTAAATAATTCTTATTTGTCTAGAAAATTCTTAAAGGTACATTATTTTAAATAAATATAATACTGTGCTTAAAATTTTACCTGGAAGATTTATTTTCTAAATTTATTTTCTTAAATCAATTAAAAATCTTTCTAGCACTGATCCTTTTAATGCTGAGATTGTTGTAAATAATTTAAATTATAATGTACAAAATATACATAATTCAGTAGCTAATGTAATGGCTTATTTTATACAAATAGAATGGGAGTTTGGTTTTCAAATTGAAGATTTAGATCCTTTTATCAATTCTTGCAGAGCATTTGAAGATACCCGTTTACCATAACCTCAGCAGTCTCTTTTCTGCCGTAACCCCCACTTTGGAGTATTCTTACTTGTTATCAATTGTTGTTGTGACCGCCCCTCCTCGGCCACCCCCTTTCCTTGCCCGCTCGCCGTGTTGTTGTTATTGCATTTAAGTGCAGCTTGTTAATGCTCATTAAATGTTAAGGGAGCTGTGAGCTGGCTCTGAGCTCGAGAGCTGAGTTTAGCTCCCAGATCGACGGCAAAAGCAATTGTCTCGGGCTCGAGCCCTGCCTCAAATTGTGGCAGAGTCCGATCCCCGGAGCTGTGGGCTTGGGCTTTAGTTCCATAAAATGAAGCGAGCCAGAA